GATCCTTCCCAGAAGAATCTCTACAAAGATGTGATGCTGGAGACCTATATGAACCTCACTGCTATAGGTAATACTGTGAATTTTTTCTTCATGTTTTAAAATAAGGGGATTTGTTGTTGATGCTCTTCTGTAATTTTGATTCTGAATGAAGTGAATAAATCAGGGATGGTTCTAGGGTTTACTGAAGATAGTAACTTAATTTTTTTTACAATTTCTAATAGTATATCATACATTTCCTGGTACTATATTTTAGGCTACAGATGGGAAAATCATAATATTGAAGAACGTTGTCAAAGTTTTCGAAGACATGGAAGGTAATTTTCCTGTGGATGCTGATACAAATGTGCCTCTGAAGATATTTTAATGTATCTGGAAGTTTTTCTTTTCTTTTTTTTTTAAGTAGCAGTGTAAATAAGCACAGCTCAAAAGGCATTGATGATCATAAATTCTCACAAAACCATATGCCTCAATGGCAGGTAAGTGAATTGTTTGCAAGTCATTCATTTAAGAAGGAAGACAAGGAATCAATGCCTTAACAGATATCACCATTTGAATCATTGCTCCCTCAGAGCTATTTTGTAGAACTGCCAATCCATTTAGTTTCATACCTCTCATTTTACAGAAGGTATATATGCAGCACAGATATGTCTAAAACCTTCTAGTAAGCAAATAGTCCACAGTAAAGCTAGTGTTACTCATATAGTTGTTCTGGCCTTGGTAAGTTTATTGAGGCAGTTAGTTTGAGTCAAGAATTAATGGAGACAGTTGTTGTGGAGAAACTTTAATTCCTATATCTTATGTCTGTGAGGAACAGAAAGTCAAACTGTTGAATGCAATGTGGAAACCTTTTTTTTTGTTATTCTTCCTTCAATAGGTATATCATATATTACTCTGGATAGAAGCCATATAAGCATAGGGATATGGAAAGAAGCAATGTATCTCTCTTCATCTCAGAACAATTAGAAGATATGTAGTAGTCCCCATGTTGAGTAGACTTGTTGAATGTGGTTCAAGAATACAGTTAATTGGTGTTCCAGCTTCATTGGGACTACATCAACAAACTCGTTGCTGAAAGCTGTATGAGTACTGGGAATGTGTAAATACTTCTATTTGTCTTGGTTCACTTTGCAAATATAACACAGAGTATAGGGAAATTTATCAATGGAATAAGTCAGGGAAAGGTCTGAATTCTTCCAGTTCTTTTAAATATGTGAAATTTCTCATAGAGAAATTGGATGCCATAAATGTGAGCCAGATAATAAAGGCTCCTACCATGACAGGTTTCTTCAAATATGCAAAATAATCCTTAATGAAGGAGAACAACATGAATATAAACAAAGTGATAAAAGCTTGAGATCTTATTACTCTTTACAATTGGACCAAATTATAAAATTAATTCATACAGATATAAAGATTCAACAGAGATATGAATGTGGTAAAGCTTTTTCATGTGTCATTTATCCTTGCAGGCATGAAAGAAGTCATAGTGGAGAGAAACCTTCTAAATATCCTCAAAGTGTGAAAGCCTTTGCATATCAGAGTCATCTTCAAAGTTGTGAAAGATTTCATGCTGGAGAGAAATCCTATGAAGGTATTCAATATGGTGAAGCCTTTGCATGTCATAGTAGTCTTCGAATACATAAAGGAACACGTACTGGAGAGAAACCCTATGAATGTAATCAGTGCATTAAAGCTTTTGCATTTCGCAGTCATCTTCAAATACATAAAAGAACACATACTGGAGAGAAACCTTATGAATGTAATCAATGTGGTAAAGCTTTTGCATCAAATAGTCATATTCAAATGCATAAAAGGACACATACTGGGGAGAAACCCTATGAATGTAATCAATGTGGTAAAGCCTTGGCATCTCAAGGTAGTCTCCAAATACATAAAAGAACACATAGTGGAGAGAAACCCTATGAATGTAATCAGTGTGGTAAAGCTTTTGCTCGTCAAAGTTGTCTCCAAATACATAAAAGAACGCATACTGGGGAGAAACCCTATGAATGTAATCAGTGTGGTAAAGCCTTTGCACATCAAAGTAATCTCCAAGTACATAAAAAAATACATACTAGAGACAAACCCTATGAATGTAATGAATGTGGTAAAGCCTTTGTATGTCAAAGCAGTCTCCGAATACATAAAAGAACACACACTGGAGAAAAACCCTATGATTGTAATCAATGTGGCAAAGCATTTGCATGTCACAGTTATCTTCAGATGCATAAAAGAACACATAATGGAGAGAAACCCTATGAATGTAATCAATGTGGTAAAGCCTTTGTATGTCAAAGCGGTCTCCAAATACATAAAAGAATACATACTGGAGAGAAACCCTATGAATGTAATCAATGTGGTAAAGGCTTTACATGTCACAGTCAACTTCAAAATCATACAAGAACACATACTGGAGAGAAACCTTATGAATGTATTCAATGTGGTAAAGCTTTTGCATGCCACAGTCATCTTCAAATGCATAAAAGAACACATACTGGAGAAAAACCCTATGAATGTAATCAATGTGGTAAAGCGTTTGCACAACACAATCATCTTCAAAGGCATAAAAGAATACATACTGGAGAGAAACCCTATGAATGTAATCAATGTGGTAAAGCCTTTGCACATCAGAGTCATTATCGAAGTCATGAAAGAATACATACTGGAGAGAAACCCTATGAATGTAATCAATGTGGTAAAGCGTTTGCACATCAGAGTCATTATCGAAGTCATGAAAGAATACATACTGGAGAGAAACCCTATGAATGTAATCAATGTGGTAAAGCGTTTGCACATCAATGTCATTATCGAAGGCATGAAAGAACACATACTGGAGAGAAACCCTATGAATGTAATCAATGTGGTAAAGCCTTTGCACGTCAGTGTAGTCTCCAAATACATAAACGAACACATACTGGAGAGAAACCCTATGAATGTAATCAATGTGGCAAGGCATTTGCATGTCAAAGTAGTCTACAAATACATAGAAGAACACATACTAGAGAGAAACCTTATGAATGTAACCAGTGTGGTAAAGCCTTTTCACAACTCAGTAGTCTTAAAATACATAAAAGAACACATACTGGAGAGAAACCCTACATATGTAATCATTGTGATATACCATCAGCTTGTTTTGTTGGCTGTGGCTTTGGCAAGTTGTTGGGAGCTTCTGTGTATACACTTTGTATCAGAAACCTTCAAAAATATAAAAAAATCATACTGCAGTGAAGCCATCTAAATGCAGTTACTGTAGTGATGTTTTGCAAGTCATGGTAGTCTTTATGCAAGAGCAAAACATTTTGTGTGCAATAGGTCTAGTAAAGCCTCTGAATATAGCATTAGACTTTGAGTATCTGAAAAAACTCATACCAAAGGGAATCTGCATATAAATGATTTGGTGAGATCTTTAGCCAACAAGCTTACACAAGATTATTTATTTAGTTACACAAGATTATTTATTCTGGAAAAAAATTTGACAATGCCAACAGTGTTCAAGCATTATGATGTCCCTCTTTATTTTGTTTACACTGCAAACTCACATGGACAAAAGGCCTATATTTAAATAATAAGGTAACCATTTGGGATCTCATAGTTTTCTACAATTACATGAGATAATGAATCCAGGTGTAAAACTTCATGGATGTATAGTAGTGCCTTTTCTGTTGCTGTGATAAAACCTACAGAAGGATTTAATTTGGCCCTTAGTTCCAGAGGGATACAGGATCACTATGAAATTGGCATGGAAACAAGTGTCAGACATGGCAGCTAAAGTAGAATTTACATCCTTAACCTGTAGCATGAAGCATAAGTATAAACTGAAAATGGTGAGCAGATGTAAACTCTCAGGCCAACTCCCAGAGACATATTTCTTACAGCAGGGCTGCATTTCCTAAATCTTTCCAAGTGATGCCACAGACTCAGAATAATTGATTTCTCTGACTTTAGTGTACATGCTTGATTTATTTTACATGAACCAATTCATGACAGAGAAAAACTCTATAAGCCTTTAAATGCCTCAACACCTGTGTTACAGGAATTACAAAAGAGTGAAAATTAGTTTAAAGATTTGTTTTGAGTTTAATTATGCCATGTCAGTGTGTCTTTGTATGGGTATGTGCTTTCTTGTTCCCAAGAAGATTAGACGTTTGGGGCTTCTTTTAGTAGGAATTACTGGCAGTTGTCAAAAACCTGACACTGGTCCTGGGAATAAAGTTGTATTAAGGGTTCAGCTGTGTCTCTAGCCCTGCAAATATGTTTATGCTTTTTATATCATCCTGATATCATTAAATAGGGAGGAACTCATACAAGAGTAAAACCCTATTCATGTAGACAGTTTGGTAAAGAATTTAGCCAGGTGGTAGTGGCACACACCTTTAATCCCAGCACTCGGGAGGCAGAGGCAGGAGGATCTCTGTGAGTTCGAGACCAACTTGGTCTACAAGAGCTAGTTCCAGGACAGCCTCCAAAGCCACAGAAAAACCCTGCCTTGAAAAACTAAAAAGGAAAAAAAAAAGAAAGAAAAAAAAAGATTTTAGACATTACAGTTGTCTTAAGTTTCAAGAAAAAAAAGTTTCATCTCTTTTTCATCATATCCTAGAAGTAAGTAAATCATAAACCAAGTTCATTAAAGACTGATGTGATGATCACATTGTATCTTCTATTTTACAACACTGGAGATAGATATTAAAGTGTACTATCTGTGGCAAATCCATTTAGTGAAGTTTATTTTGTGGTCTTATTCCTTCTATGGCTTTGATCATCTTCTATTGTGCTTTCTCCTAGTTAGAGATTTTTTTTTTCTGCTGCCAGGTGTATAATAGGATTGCTATCTTCTAAGTGGTCCATTTTCATTTGAATACCAGGCAGTGTGTAATCATACTTTTCAAGTTAGGGTGTCTGTGAAAGGGTGATGGGGTTTTGTTCCTAGTTTTATTTTTCATATTTTTCACAAGTTCCCTTGAAATGTTGTTTGTTATCCATGCTGGCTTGGATGTCAGTGATTAGTCAGGGATACATATGAACTTGTGATCTTCATGTGTTATTCTCCTAAGTACAAGCCTAAGGGTAGGTGGTGTACACCCAATGTTTTCTGTTTTGTCAAAATATTTTAACAATGTTAATGTTAAAATACTTGTTAGAGAATATAAAAACACATTAAATGCCTCGTGTGTATGCAAAGAAACATTTTCATCTATCTGAAAGAGATATAATGAGGTAGGATAGTCAGTAGTCAGCTGCGTATTTCACAGTAGAATGGAGATGCTATATATATATATATCTTGAAGCTCCATGTATCTTCATGTCTTCATCAGTTATGTCATTTTGAAGTATTGCCTTCTAAGTGAATACAGAAATGCCAGATAATGTAATGGCAATGAGATTTATTTTAAATTTTTTTCTGGTGTGTGTGTGTAATGTGACTATGGGCTTTTAGGCCATGACAAATATGTGGAGACCCAAAGAAAACTTTATGGGGTCTACTTTTGTCCATCTTCATATGGTGATCAAGATGAGGTAACAACCTTGCACACCACAGACATTTCCAACAAAGTTTCTCATTGATGCTCAAATAAGATTAGTTGAAACATTAAATCAGTAAAAATGGTCTTCTTTTCAGATTGTAAACATGTTTTAATTGAAAGGTAATGGAAAATAGGAGAAATTAAATAATAAATCCTATTAGCAAATGAAAATTATCCACTGCTATCTCTTTTGTTATTCCTTTGTTGTGTGTGGAATGTGTTGATTTATTATGAGGACCAAACACTGTTCATAACATTTTCTCAGAACCACAAGTGAAAGCCAGTGAATAGTTTCTATGAGTAAAGGTGGTTGCTGCTAAGCCTGAGGTCCTGAGTTCAATTTCTCGGAGCCTATTTTATTCCTACATATTTTCTCTTATTTCTATACTTGTGGGAATATGTACCCTCACACACCAACACATTCATAAGTAATTAAAAAAACCAAATAAATGCCATTGAAGTCACTTGCAACTAAATGATTCCCTGGCTTCCATGTCTAGAACTCACATAGGATAATAAGATAAAAGAAACCTATAAATTGTCCTCTCAATGCCACATACACATCCTGGCAAACAGTTCAAACATTTTTAAAGAAAGCAAAGAAGATAACTCAATTACTGAGAATATATAAATTGATTTTCCAGGTTAAATTACTACTATAGAATTTCAGAAGTATTACTGTTCATCAAAACATCGATGATTCCCTTTTTTTTTTTTTTTTTTTTTTGGTTTTTTGAGACGGGGTTTCTCTGTATTGCTTTGGAGCCTGTCCTGGAACTAGCTTTTGTAGACCAGGCTGGCCTCAAACTCACAGAGATCCCCCTGCCTCTGCCTCCCAAGTGCTGGGATTAAGGTTGTGCGACACTACCACCCGACTTGATGGTTCCTTTTTAAGTCTTATTTTATCATTAATTCTCTCATTCAAGGACAGAGTCATTTTAAAAACAAGTTTCACCTCATCTTAGTGTCACATGCCTATAATCCCAGCATTTGGGAGACAGTGGACAGCTGTGGATTTGTAGAGATATCCTATCTCCAAAATATCCCCAAAAGAAAAAATAATCTCATAGTATGGAATTTATCCTAATATACTCTGTCTGGAATGTGACTGGTTTCAACCAAAACTTTTGTTATCTTTACTCACATTAAGAGAACTGTGTTAACAAACAAAATATGAAGCAATGTGGAGAATCTATTCACAGAGGTATGGTAGGCTTTTGAATCCTTTGACAACCATCTCCTGGGGGCTTTCATCACCTTCAAGTCATAAGAGACAGAAGGAATAATGGGGCATTTTCATCTTTGGCATTATAATGACATATTTGGAAGCTAGATAGTTTTCTCAATAGTATTGCACCTCTTAGGTACCCAAGTTTGGTTCCTAGCACCTACATCAGATGGCTCAGAACTACTTGTATTTCCAGGTCCAGGAGAACTGATGCAATCTTCCGACATCCTATGGCACCAGATATACAAATGGTGAAAAGACCACTTAAATATGTGATTCCATATTTTAAAAAATGTTTTCTTCATGTATATCTTATTTTCAAAAAGAAAGAAGTTTAACTTAGGTGTTTAAGTTTTGCCACTTTATATACCAGTTTTGCATGCCAGGTACCAGTGAAGGTTACAAGAGAATATTTGATTCCCTATGCCTGTAGTTACAAACAGTTTTGAGCTATCTATTGGGTTCTGGGAATCAAAGTCAGGCCCATGTGGATGCTTATAGGTGTTGATTTATCTATTCAGCCACAAGAACCTTACATTACAGCAGTAAAGTATGAATGGGTGGCACTGAGTTCATCTTTACCTCAGCCCTGATGATCCCAAAGAAATACAAGATTGGTAGCATCATTAACCAACTTAGATGTCTTGCTTAAATAAATTTCCAAGTCTAAGTCCCCACAAAATGAGGTTAGAATGCAAAAATGATCAGGAGTAAAACTGACAATGCAAGTCTTTAAAAAGTGACTGATTGACTGGGCGGTGGTGGCGCATGCTTTTAATCCCAGCACTCAGGAGGCAGAGGCAGTCAAGGCCAGCCTGGTCTACGGAGTGAGTGCCAGGACAGGCTCCTAACATATACAGGGAATCCCTGTCTCAAAATAGTGACTGAATGCTTGACCAAAGCCACAAGACTGAGATTATATTCAGTGTGGTAAATAGGCAGCAATGGGAACCCAAAAGGACACATATCAGGTATACCCCTGCTGGAGTTCATGCCTCCTGTGAGGAGAGAAAAGGAACTTTCAGGCATGACTTTGCAGGCATGAAGACTGACTTGTCTGAAGGGGGTCTGTTATGCTAAATCTTTCCACCAAAAGCCACTGAGCCCCACCACCACGTGTGTGCTTTACACCAGCCGCCTGAGTTCTGCCCGCTGTGTGGATGGACAAAATAATACACAGACTTCTATTAGGTACAAATGCTGCTTGGCTAATGACTAGGATTTCTCATCTGCTAGCTCAGTCTTAATTATCATAAATCTATATATTTTATAAGACTTATAGAGGATGCCTCCTGCTGGTGTCCTCTCTTGCTGTTGGATCACATGGCCACTGGAGGAAGAGCAGAGGGGAAAAGGGCCCACTTCCTGTTTATCCTTCCTTAAATATGAGTCTTCCTGCTATGTCACTTCCTACCTGGATCACCACTTCTCTACTAAATTTCCCAGAATCCTTTTTGACTCCTAGTCCTGCCTAACTTGCTGCCTCACTGGCCAAACAGTACTTCATTTATCAATCAATAAGATGAACATACACAGTACATTCCATCAGGGATCACACTCTGCTTTTCTGATGCCTGTAAAGCCTTCACTTAGAAGTCCTGAATGGTGGTGACTCCAGATGACATTCAGGTTGTCAGGAGAGCCTTAGACTTCAACAGCAGTAACTCTAAGGGCAGGGCACTCAGGCATTTACAAAAGGCCTGTGGAGTTTGGAGGAAGTGTTAGGGAGCTTTGGGTGCAAAAGTCAAAACAAATGCTCAGAGAGCAATGCTTGGGGTATACCTGGGGACAAGTTTGCTCCTACTGTGCAGTCTGTATCTGTTGGGAGCTGCAGAGTACCGCACCTACGAGACGGCGCCAGTTTCTGCCTTCCGCCAGCCCGACGGCGAGTGCTCTCTGTGGTAAACAACTCCTAATTAGGAAAAGGCCACGTATCCTTCTAAATTCTGATTGGTAACAACCTCTCCTAGCTTGCCACCTGGGTGTAGTTGATTGGTAGTTGCAGGATATATATAACGCAGTCTTCCTTTGTCCGGGGCCACTCCCTGTAAATCAAGTTTCCCGAGTAAAACTGTGAGAAGAAGATTCCTCGGTGTTGCGTCCTTCTTGCTGGTCAACGGTGGTCGCGACAAGTGGTGGCCCATACGGGGAACTCAGAACTCCTCACAGTCGGGGTGGCGCTGGTAAGTTCCCAAGGTAAGTGGGACAAGTAGGTCTGCGGTGAATGTGGCAATAAGATCTCTGGGTAGGAGCAAGACCGTTCACGGCAGAATAGAACCAAAAGTAAGAGGCCTCTGTCCCGCACGCGCTGTATTTTCTCGGCCGGCAAGAAATCACACGCAGGACACTCGGATCCTTCTGCAGACAAGCTTTTAATGCATCTTGTGAGGGGAGAGCATAAGCTTACCAGAGCGGAGAGACTGAACCAAGAAAACCATCCCTTATAAAGGCTGACCAGCCGCCTGGGACGTGTTACCCTATGAATGGCTTCAGCTCCTCAGGCCAAATGAGCCACGGGATAGGCAGAGATCAAAGGAATGGAGATTACCCAGCGCCTGTGAAGTAATTTACATCTTGGTGTCTTCAGGCACCATATTGTAATGGATAATGCAGGAACCGGCTCCCTACAGGCCTCCCTCCTGCTTTAACTTGCAGAGGGAGGAGTGATTGGACCCCGCTGTTATAGTGTTGATTTGGCTGCTTTTTAACATTGCAGTGTGGGCTCTCGTTTTTTGGTGGTGTTATCCAACTTGTACGCCTCCGGAGTGCACAAACTAAAAGAGTAGAATTAACAAAAGCACAATGGGATCGTCACAGTCACATCCAATTTTTCTGGCTTTTCAAGAGCTGCTTCATTCTAGAAAATTAAAGTTAACTAAAGCCACGTTGCAGAGGTTCCTGAATGAATTCTATGCTATTGCACCCTGGTTCACAGTTTTAGGTAATCTCTCGGTAGCTAGTTGGGATAAGTTAGGGAAAGATCTGGATTTTGCCTGGGAACAAGGAATGTTGAAGCCATGTGTTCGGACGGTATGGCGACTAGTACACATCTGTCTAGAGGATCAAGAGGGAAATAAGAAAGCTATAGCGAATGGACAAGCTGCCCTTGAAATGCTTCAAGAAGAAAGATCAGAACAGTCAGAAAGTGAGGCTGGAAAGGAAAAATGGAAAGGGAATAAGAAGCGAGTCTATCCTTCTCTGGGAGAGTT